AAATCAGCAACCGACTGCACAAGATTTGACTGGAGGATTTGAATATGCAAATCCAGAAGGGCACAAGCTCATGATCTGGATTTCATTTAGTATGAGAACATGTGTGTCACCTTGTAGTCACGTTGTGTGTCTGTGGATGAAAGACGACTCCGATCAAAGAGGCACAGGAACTGGGGGGAGAATAAGGGAACAGGGCATCATTCACAGTTGGATGTTCCTGTAGCACTTCATCTTTTGCTTGCCGTTGCATCACCTTGCTCTCAGAACTCCTCTGCAACTCCGATATTAGTCCATGTGAAGGTGTATTTTCTACAGCTTCTGGTATTCTGACATGATGATTCAAGATGGTGAATTAAGGCAATTAAAGTTAAAAGCAACCTCACTTTTTATACACCTGTGGGATGGAGAAGTTATGCCCTGTACTGTGGTTTGGGACTTATTTTTTTACAGCTTAATCGAAACAGGAAGCTGCACCTATAGATGTGTCTGCATTGACCTTTTGTGCAATTATCTTCAAATTTTGAAAAAATAAGTGTGTTTCCATCGCAGTGCATCAAGATATATTGGATGTACAAGATCACATAATTAGAAAACTCTGTAATCTGCTATATTTTCATTCATTGGATTCCTCTAGGCACTGAGTGCAACTTGCCTGATATCAAATAATTGCCATTTTTGTTTTCACTTCATTATTTGTTTGACATTGTGTCCATGTTTGCTGTTTTCTGTTTCGAAAAGGTTCTTAATTTCCCTAACCAGTCACAAGCCAGTGACACTAACATCCCACCAACATCATTTCAGTCGACACAGAAGCTGCATTTGCGGTTGCCAGGAGCAATTAATGTTTTTCTCAATCTTATCCAAGTTTGTAATAATTGTTCTGGCTTTGGCACAGGAAGGTGATGACTAAATTGCTAGTCCTGCCAAGAAAGTTCTGATTGGGTCAGTGGTTTTTCCTGCCAGGGAAAGAAACTTTAGTGAGCACAACACCAGACATATTAGAATCACTAAAAAAAACAAGATGTGGGTGGCAATGCAGAACTCTGGAACCAGGTTATACTTCGGAATAATCCCTGTCAGGGTTTTCCGGCCCTGTCGAATAACAACTATTGCATCCAATTATGTTTCCACCATATTGTGAAATGCTTCAGTTTTCACATTAGTTCCACTTTGTTTTGGATTGGTGTGTTTGTGTTTGTCTCCTTAAGAAGATTGGTGTGTGCTGTGATGGGAGTGGGGCTGCTGGGACATCTGGCTAACTGACTGTAAGCTGCTGTATTACTCCCCATTAGGAGTCATTAAGACCCCAATTATAGTTACCACCCCCCAGTTCACACACACACACACCAGAGTTTGCTGTTACGTTCAGCCAGTTTTCCAACACAGTCTCTGCAGTGGAGAACGGCCTGTGGTTTAAAGTGTTTCCTCTTTATTGATATTTGAAATATCTGAAATTAAATTGATTTGAATAACGGTTTGGTTGATGTTTAAGAAGTGTCTGAAAACTCTCTTCTTATTCATTTAAATTAGGACTCTGCATTGAGGCAGCAGAAGTCCTGACTCAGGGGGCTTTGAAACAAAGAAAATGCAGAGTCATCAGCAAAAATGTCAAACCTGACTCAACTTTTGCCGCAAAGCAACGCAAAATCATCCAGAAACACTCTGCTTTAGCCAATCAGATGTTCACATTTGTGGTAGATTACTAACATAGACAGCCTTTTCCTGTTAATTGTCAAGACAGAGGATAGAAATGATGTAAACGTTTCTCTGATGAGAAGTGATTTGGTGTCTGATAAGCAGTCAAACTGGACTAGCTGACATCTTATCACTGGTACCTGTAACAACACCAATGCAGCTGCTTTTTAAACCAGAACCACTCCCACTCCTCCAGATTTTCTAACCAAAATGAACAAAGTGAGATACCCAAAATAAAACGAACCATACACACAAGCAAGGTCATGCCAGAAAAAGACCTTCCTGTGAAAGACTTTCAGACATACATACATACACACTCGCACCCACAGAGAGAAACACACTCTCATACTGGCATTTACACAGTCAGACATCACCACGTCCCATCTGAAGCTCCTGCACACTACACACAAACACACACCTCTAGCCGAAAGACACACATGCGCACACACACAC